CTGATCTCAGCGCATCATAACAATTAGTTAATGTGTTCAACTGATCGGTAACTTCGGCGATGCGATCTTGATTGTCCGTTTCGCAGACTGTGACCGACGGAAATGCCGTGTCCCAATCCAAGTAACTTGTCTCGACTACGAACTGTATGGCGTTGTTCTGATAATCGTCCCAATTCGCCAGCATCAGAAATCCGGTTCCGACCCAACTCAGGATGCAGCACACCAACCAGAACAACTTTTCAGTCCAATGCTTCTCTCTTTCAGCCAAAAAGTGAAAACCGTGAAAGGACGTATTCAAAACGTATTCCCTCAACGGAGAGTTCTTATTAGCTTCTTCCATGGTTGTTGTTACCGTTGGAATGCCTCCGAAGTCCTCCAAAGCTTATCAGTCGGAAAATCCGAATCGATGGCGCAATACAAAAGGACACACCGATCACGATCGAACGCTGCTGAAGCTATTCAAGCAATTCCCATTATTTATTTACGCTATTTTATTTTTCCACTCGCCTAATAAGCGATTAATGCGCTATTTTTCGCAGGAATTCACCGATTCTTCGCGTCGCACTATAAATACTGCTTCGGAAACGATGGTAAGTCAAGTCAAGTTGAGTCAAGACGCAGCAATGAAATTGATTGTAGCACTCGTCGTGGTCGTAGCCGCAACAGCTTCCGGTAAGTCTTAAAGTCGAAATGTTAGTCCTAATTGATAAGAAACATGTTTAATTGTTTTAAGGTAAAGTCATCAGTGGACCCGAAGAGCTGAGAAGTAAGTCTTGTATTTTGATTTAGTTGAATAGAACGTTAGCAATGTTTTAATCTTGTAGGTGCTGGATATGGTGATAATTCCAAGGTTAATGATGATGACATTATAGAGTGCATAGCAAAAATTTTAAAGACAATTAAATGGGACACCGATAGCGGTAATGGTGGTGACGATGATGATGATGGTAATGGTGGAATATTCGCTGTAGAAGGTGGTGTTTCATCGACTTATGTAACTGAACCATCAGTTACATCAACCATTGCGCTAAGCAGAAGTGCACATAGATCGGTGAATAAGGAAGCAAATCATAACAAAGGCAACAACGTGCATGGTTTGTAATCGTACATTAACTTGGAATGCGTTTGATCCAGATTTACGTTTTTTTAGGGCAAGGCAAGGCTCATGGTAACGCACACGACAAAGGTCATGGTAAAGCCCATGCCAAATCGCACGGTAAAGGTAAAGCGCATGATAAATCTCATGCTAAATCGCACGACGCAAGAAATCACAACAAGAAATCAAAGGTAAATTAACACAAGTCTAATAATGATGATGATAATAATAACTGTTTTTAGATCGATAAAACCAATAAAAACCATCAATAGCGAGGGTGCATATTCTAATGGTCTGGGCTACTAAAATGTAGATGGATTAGTTTTAGTCTTCTATTCAATAAATATAGTTTGAGAATTCCATAATTTGTATTTAGTTTTCATGAACCGTGCGAGATTTGATCATTAATTCATTCCTCTAGTTTTAAAGAATAAACTGACCATTTTGAATGAATGATACTCTTATAAATATTGCTATCAATATAATTAAGATTCGGTAGTCTTCAACTTCGCTGAATAAAATTGGACACTTTAGTGTTTTAACATGTTCCAGACTGCTATACAATTCGTAATTGAGATTGGTGCATTTCCATCGGTCAAAGTTTGCGAAACGGACAATCAAGATCGCATCGCCGAAGTTACCGATCAGTTGAACACATTAACTAATTGTTATGATGCGCTGAGATCAGAGATGTATCTTGTTTCAGGATATACCGAGATCCGCACGATTATAATTTGGATGAGATCGTTAAGGAGTTGGTCTACTTCAGAGAATTGTCTTTTTACACTTTACAGATTTGCGGATCGGACGCTCCGCCTAATCCCGATTGCCAAATGAACAATTACACTATATTCTCAACTTTAGTACGTGTTTAACACAAGATAAAGTACGAATTGATTGGACATTGAATTTTAGGTGCGAAGCTCCTGCGAGCAAATATTCAAATCTTGCAAATGGAACGATTTCCAGTTCGATTGCTGCAAATACTTTAACGAGATGGACACAGAATTGGGGACTTGCTACAGCATAAACTCACAGCAAACCAAGTGATCTAATTACTCTAATCCAATTCTTTGATTGTTCTTGATCTAATTGCATTTGTGCAGGAAATATAATGAAAATTGGACTCTTTAGTGTTTCAGCAGGTGCTAAAAATCTGATGCAAAACAGATGTCACATTTTGTAATTAATGTCAATAAGTTTAAACTATATATAAATAAAGTTTTAAATTCAATTAACAACATGCAATGTTGTATATATAATCGTTATTTTGTGGGTTTTTTAATACATTTACAACAATTTTGTATGACTTTCAAATAGTTCAAGATTTATGTTAAAAACGTTTAACGTTTGCTTCAAAACCAAATGTAAAACAAAGATTAATGTAATTAATATCAATAAGTTTAAACTATATATAAATAAAGTTTTAAATTCAATTAACAACATGCAATGTTATATATATAATCATTATTTTGTGGGTTTTTAATACATATACAACAATTTTGTATGACTTTAAAATAGTTCAAGATTTATGTTAAAAGCTTTTAACGTTTGCTTCAAAACCAAATGTAAAACAAAGATTAATGTAATGAATGTCAATAAGTTTAAACTATATATAAATAAAGTTTTAAATTCAATTAACAACATGCAATGTTATATATATAATCGTTATCTTGTGGGTTTTTAATACATTTACAACAATTTTGTATGACTTTCAAATAGTTCAAGATTTATGTTAAAAGCGTTTAACGTTTGCTTCAAAACCAAATGTAAAACAAAGAACGTAAGAAAATAAAAATATTCTATATAATTACATGTAATTATAACGATGAGTAATTATAATAAAGAACAATAAACAAAATAATGATTAATAGCAAAGCGATTTAGTTCAGAAAGACACGCGTCCTCGAAAAAATCTGAGCAATTCCGAGTTCATAAAGATTAGATATAGTATAATGATTTTCGCGAAGAATTTCCATATCTTTTCGGAATTCAAACGGAAAACTACTTAAAGAGTTAACGAACGAACGAACGAAAGCAAAGTATTCGTTGAAGTCAAAATGAAGGTATTACTGTACGTTTTGGTGATCGTCGCACACGTTGGTTGCTTTGTCTCCGGTAAGAATTTCAATTAATCAAATGCTAACATACTTTTAATGTTTATGCATACTTTCAGCTGCATCCTTAAGTGGAACGTTACCGTTCATTGGTAAAGTATTAAAGATATATTTTTGTTAAGCATATTAATATAAGTAATTGTTATTGGTAGTTGGTGGTGACTTTGAATTCCCTAATAATTATGATGATTTTATTGCTTTTATTGAGAGTATTCTGACGCAATGCGATAAGAGTGTTAAAAATGAAGATGAATCTGAAACTACTACAGAAATTGAGAAGATCGGTCCATCTGAACCAACAACAGGTAATTATTATAGTCACTAGATAATTAATTTAATGAATCTATTATTGTTTATTGTATCTTTTAGTGATCGTAGATAGAATGGTCCATAAACTAATGAAACACGCAAATAAGGTTTAATTTAAAGTTTCAATAATGTGAATGTGATTAAATCTGTGATGATTTCAGGAACATCACAAATCTAAACAACATTCTGCGCACAAGAATACGAAACATCACGGTAAATACTTTATACTATGTTTAAGTGTGTAGTTCGCATATTAAATTATTTCGCTAAATTATAGGAAAATCCAAGAATCACGAGAAGAACAATAAGCATCACGAAAAATCCAAGAATCACGAAAGAAACAATAATAAAGATGAGAAGCATCATTGATTGTTTGAAATAGTTTATTGATAATTAGAGGAAATTGTTTGAAGTAGATTTAGTGGAATAAATATGCATGATATCAAAATAAGCGTCAACTTTTTTTTATCGTTTTGATCGAAGGTCAGAAAAACTGACCTCTAACCTCACCTCAAACCTAACAATATTTTCAATTTTTTTTTTAAAAACCCTTGTAACTATTTTTAAGAAAATCCTATTCACTTTTTTCCTAATTCTACAGCTCATAGCAAGCGACTCGATGACAACACGAAGATGTATGTAGACTTGTTGGAAAGACAAAATATTCAGCTTTCGTACGAGTGGTCAACGATGTAATTATCTTAAGGGGTTGTCGAGAAATTCATGAATAACTGTAAAAACTGAATAAAAACGAGAAAAAAATGTTCTTCAGCTTATAATAGGCGACTCGTTATAACTACAAAGATGTTTGTAGGCGCGTTGGAAAGGTAAGATTTTCAGCTTTTATACGAGTGGTCTATGATTTAATTACCTTTAGTGGTTGTCGAGAAATTAATGAAAAACCGAAAACACTGAAAAAAAAACGAGAAAACCGTCATTTCTCTGTTACGTATAAGACGTTTAGTATGTGTTTTTTTTCAACTTCTACAGCTCATATCAGGCGACTCGATGATAGCACGAAGGTGTATGTAGGCTTGTTGGAAAGACAAAATATTCAGCTTTCATATGAGTGGTCGATGATGTAACTATCTTAAGGATTTGTCGAGAAAATCACGAAAAACTGTAAGAACTGAATAAAAAACGAAAAAAAAATGTTGTTCAGCTTATAACAGGCGACTCGATATAACTACAAAGATGTATGTAGGCGCGTTGGAAAGGTGAGATCTTCAGCTTTCATACGAGTGGTCGATGATGAAATTACCTTTAGGGGTTGTCGAGAAAATCGCAGAGGTAGGCGCAGAGGAGATACTTCTTTTTGATAATAATTCAATAAGCCACGAAACGATATCATTAATGATCTAAGTCGTTTTATGATTTTTCTTTTGTTCTACTGTTACTTCATATTTGTCGATCTGACATCAAAGTCAACGTGACATACTTGCACAAGAGATGATAAAAATGGAACGTTCCTTACTTGTACCATGGATGATACTTATGATGTTGATCACATACTATTCCCATATGCAAATGGACGGATAAACTTAATATATACAGTTTACAAATGTCTGCACTACAAATTAAACCATTTTAAGTTGGTGCACCTTAACGATACGTTAAAATTAACGATTCCAAATACAAAAACAACATTTTTCAAATAATCACACGCATCACTTTTCCAAGTATAATCATTATGATAAAAGTTTATCACGCACGATTTATTGCACAAAACTATTTAAATTATTAATATACAGGAATGTCGCGTTCATTTTTTTTTCCATCGGAATCCGTGAATCCTCCTCAAGTATAAAAACATGCGAACACAAACGAATGAGTATTGTGTTTGACAAGTAGCGTTGCAAACAAAATGAACGTTTTCATATCAATTTACGTGTTGGCTTTAGTCGCGTTTGCATCAAGTCAACCACCGACCGCTTCACTACAGGACATATTAGACCAGTGTGGTATATCGATCGATATATTGTAAACTTAAAACTACTTTTTTTTCTATTATCTAACTGATCTTTTAGGTGACGATAACCAACTGAAATCGCTTGTCTATTTTCTAAATACGTTGGGTCTATTCAATCAAAATGGAAATGGTAACTTATTGATTTAATTCTTTAATTATTTGTTAATTTGTAATGTGCTTTTAGAGAGACAACGAGATTTATCGATCCATCATCTAAAGGATTTGTTGGAGGTGATTTGACTGAAAGTTTACTACTTGTTGTAAAATGTTATAATTTTCAAATTTCAGCGTTACCGCAAGGAAAAACAATCCAATAAGAATGTGAAGAGTGAAAATGGTTTGAGAAAACTACCTAGTTTTGATGACGTTTAAATGGTTATATTCAATAATACAATGTTATATTAATTCAAGTTAATGTAGATGTTCTATTTGTTGTTTCTTTTGAATAAATAGTATTGTTTTTAGATCATTTACTCAGAGAACTTATTTTATGTTATTTCCTTTCACGTGTTAATTGTTAAACTTCTTCTAGTATAACTTCTAGCCCAATTTAAACATTTCTCTGTGACTGAACTTTCTTTCAAAAACTTTCATATTTTTCAATTTCGTTTCTAAGAGTGAAGTTTTCCCAAAAAGTTTTAACGTTAATTATCCTCTAATTCAATGTTCACAAACGTTTTTGACCTCATGGACAAAAATAAGGCAAAAATTTGCAAAATAAAATAGAATCGTAGTATCAGAATTAAACAACAAAAATTGTAAATATATTCAAATTATTTTACGTAACATCAAAATAATTTATCCATATTAGCAGCAACATGAATTTGATCATTATGTAACGTCACAGGTGTAAAAAGTTTGAAAACACTGTTGCTATAACTCCTTGATTAAATTAGATAATATTATTTTTATGTTAGATAGAACTTCGTCATATGGTAGCTTCGTTAACAGAAGTATGACTGTATAGTAATAAAACTATGATCGTAGAAACTTTTTGTTGTGTAACTACATATCATTTTTATTATATTTTTTTTTCCTAGAATCAGTAGTCCAGGGTTACATTACTCGAAGAAATGACACAAACAAGGAAAATACCGCAGTTATCGCAGTTGTACTTTGAAAATTCTTTACATATTGTACACGCAAAACAATTGTTAATATTTTCCATACATTAATTGAATCCCTTGTTTGTGTCCGAATTCACAGCAAATACAAAAACAAAACCTATAATTTCAATAATTGATTATGTAATAATGAATAGATTATGAAATAAAAGAATATGTAATTTTTTTAATGAAACAAATGTTAAATCAATATTTCTTAAGAGTTTAAAAAAAAATTATACAATAAAGATTTTTGCATTGAAAAAAAAATGATTTGATAATATTCTGATACCTATGTTCATTATTCAATAAAATATTTCATTTAATTATCGATACTTTATAATCAAGCTGTTTTTATGTTGCGCCCTCTATTTTGTTATGAAAATTAATACATTTTGTTTTTAATATTAAAACGCAGAGTTGGCTAATACTAATGACACGGCGCGATCACGTGACTAGAAAAAACAATTGTTAATGAAACAATATGGGCAATTAATGAACAACAACAATTTGTTAGGAATAAAAACTGTTTTATATTCTTATTCCGGTAAGTATTTCATATTCTGAAGAAAATACATCTACTACATTATCGCAACTTTTTTTTTAGTTAAATTACTTACCTAATTTCTTGCACCAATGATGTTCAAAAAAAAAACGAAAGGAAACACGCAGTATTATGTACACTACAATAAAAATCGTCGATATGTGAAAACCAGAAACAAATTAAGGTATGTAGCAACAAATTACTACATCTGAACGTTGGATATTTACAAACAAACTCTTTTGATAGATGCTTAAATTACGTTCCACTTTTGTTTTTGTTGTCATGTACATCTTTGATCATAATTTACTTTTCTCTTTACGAATGTCTTTTATTATATTACTTTGATTCATATTGAATTTAAAAATATTAGTTTCTATTACATACACATATAAAGATGATATACAAATCATATTTTTCTTATTAAAATCGAATCTATTGCTTTTTTTTTAAGTAATACTGAATGTTATTGTAGATAAATAGATGTATCGAATTGCTTGAATACCGTATCGGTTGGCATGTTCGTCCTGGGCATACTTGTGATAAAATATCAATGAAAATAAGTTGGAAATGTCGAAAATTCCGTGGAAAGTGGTATATAAGCGAGCGTGCGCTGCCAGAGATGCATCCACGTTTCAACAACTTACTGGCCAACTTGCTTCTTTGATAAAAGTTGGTGGTAAAAAGAGATCGACAGATGTTTTCCCGGTCCCTACTAATTGCTGTACTATGTACAGTAGTAGCAGTATCTTTCGCCGGTAGGATTAGATTTTTTGTATTAAGATCACATTTTGATCATTATTATTTTTGTTTGTAGAACATCAAAGGCTCCATGGATTGAAAGCAGCAGGTAATCTCTACTGTTATTTCTTTACAATTACGATATAATGTTTGAATTATTATTATTCTGTTTAGAACATCATAGGTCTAGACATCATGGTCTAAACAAATTGAATAGAGAGCGTAGTGCGTATCAACATACAATTTGTAACATATTGTGTTCAGGAAACAATACTGTTACAACCGGACCACCATCAACCGGAAGTCCTACACCTGAACCAACCGGAACAACAACAACCGAAGGTCCTTCACCTCCACCTTCTCCAACCGAACCAACAACAACCGAGAGTCCTACACCTGAACCAACCAGACTAACACCAACCGGAAGTCCTACACCTGAACCAACCGGAACAACAACACCCGAAGGTCCTTCACCTCCACCTTCTCCAACCGAACCAACAACACACAAAGGTCTTCCACCTTCTCCAACCGAACCAACAACACCCGAAGGTCCTACACCTTCTCCAACCGAACCAACAACACACAAAGGTCCTTCACCTTCTCCAACCGAACCAACAACACCCGAAGGTCCTACACCTTCTCCAACCGAACCAACAACAACCGGAAGTCCTACACCTGAACCAATTGATCCAACACCTACACCACTTCATCCATCCACACCCAAAGATGGTAGCAGCACGCAAACTACAACAACCGAACATGATGGGACCACACCAAATAACACCTCTACTTGTGTTGGGGTTAATGTTTGTTACAATAGACATTTAGCACTCCTTTTTGGAATCATTAATAACTTCTACAAAAAAGATTCAACCGAATTGATAAATATTTTCACGGAGGTCCTTTATGGAGATAGCAAAAGCCTGGATTTAATTACATCAATCAGAGTCTTACTAGGATTGAGTTCAGACTACAATTTAAGGGAAGCAGTATCTGTATATATTACAAACTTACGGAAACTTATTGGTATTAGAAATATGCATTTGCGTATGTAGACAAATATAATATTATATTTTTTTGTGCAGGTAAAGGATCGATTAAAATCAATGCTGGATTATACGCCGTTTTGAGTGGTGAAATTGGATTTTCCGGTTTGGTAAGCAATTCCAAGGGAAAATCTGGCAAATTGGAATCCGACGCAGCTATCGCTTTGATATTAGCCACTATCTTCAGCATTCGCGTCACAGTTACAGGAGAATCCTATACTGAAATAAACGGCAAATTAGGCGCACAATTTGATTTGATTATCAAAGTCAGCGAAAAACTTGAGTTAATTTTGGAGGGAAAACCGACGGTCATCTCCGGTGACCTGAACGGTTGTGTTTCTTCTTTACCGAATTTAACAATTGTCAGTGATAGATCTCATGGAGTTGCTCACCATCTGGTAAAAGAACATGGTCACCATGCCAACAAGGCTCACCATCTGGTTAAAGAACACGGTCACCATGCCAACAAAGCTCACCATCTGGTAAAAGAACATGGTCACCATGCCAATAAAGCACACCATCTGGTAAAAGAACATGGTCACCATGCCAACAAAGCTCACCATGAGGTTAAAGAACATCATGGCCACCATGCCAACAAGGCTCACCACGAGGTAAAAGAACACCATGGTCACCATGCCAACAAAGCTCACCACGAGGTAAAAGAACACCATGGTCACCATGCCAACAAGGCTCACCATGATCACCATGCCAACAAAGCTCACCATCAAGTTAAAGAACACCATGATCACCATGCCAACAAAGCTCACCATCAGGTAAAAGAACACCATGGTAATAATGTCCACCACGCCAACAAGGCTCACAGTACCAACCATCACGAAAACAAACACCACCATGCGAATAAAGAACACCATCACCATGGAAGTAATCAATAATGAAACTGGACAATCTACAGCTAACGACGAAACATAAAATATCCACATATATGGTAACGGGACAAAGAAAAACTTAAAATAAACTTATTGAATATGCCTTAACACACAAATGATTTCTTTTATTCTATCGTAAAATATAACTACATTTCCTTTTAAATATCCATTTAATTAAATATTATCTAATTAACTGCTTTTAACTGCAACAATTCCAATATACCTGAAATTGAACCGAAATTAAAATTTCGTTCCGGTTTCGGTTTTTTTCAATTGAGCAATTTTTCGTTCCAATTACAGTTACGGTTCAGTTAAAAAAATCCGGTTAATTTCGGTTCGGCTCTCTGCTAAGAACTCGTTTATTGATACAAACATTTTAGCTAAAAGCAATTGTTCGTTCCGGTTCAAGTTACGGTTCAGTTAAAAAATTCCGGTTAATTTCGGTTCGGCTTCGTGCTAAGAACTCGATTATTGATACAAACATTTTAGCTAAAAGCAATAGTTCGTTCCGGTTCAAGTTACGGTTCAGTTAAAAAAATCCGGTTAATTTCGGTTCGGTTTATTGATACAAACATTTTAGCTAAATAAACGTTTCGCAAACTTTTCTCTAGCTAATCACAGATGGCAACAGTTCGCAACTGATAAAGCCGAGCTGAAATGAAATGAAACCGTTAGTTGCACATTTTATTTCGTTCACACATTATTGGTTCACACACATCAGAAGTTTGTTTTTTTCGCACGCAAATCGCAATCAGTTTTAAATTCCTAACCTACAAATACCATCGTCACACTCTGTATCTTTTTACATTTAATTCATAAGCAAAATCGAGAATGTCTTGGCCAGAAGTTGCCACTGCCAAAAAGGAGAAACGACACGAACTCGTCTTAGCCGGTCCGGTAATCACTGAGAAAATCCAAAAGTACGGATTGGATGCGAACATTTTCAGCATCCTCTCATTGAATTACCTGAACATCCACGATACAAAATTGGAAACCATTCCAGACGATATTAAACTTTTAACCAATCTGCAGACGCTCGTGCTGCATTCCAATCAACTGAATCAGGTGCCCGCAGTCATTGGTGATCTGGATAAATTGAAACTGCTGGATCTGTCTTTCAATAACCTAAAAGAAATACCTGAGAGTTTCTCCGAGTTGAATCAGTTGACATCACTCAATGTCTCCTCGAATCAGTTGGAAAGTTTCCCAAAATTCGCGACGAACGCGAAATTGCAAGTTATTAACTTGGCAAATAACAAGTTAGTTGATTTCCCCAATATTTGCCATCCGGACATGGTGGCACTGGCAGACTTGAAGCTGCAATTGAACCAGATTGCAGAGATTTCACCAGATGTTAAAAACCTCGCATCATTGAAGAGCTTAGATCTTACAGCTAATAAATTGACGACAATCCCCAAAGAGTTAGCAGATTGCAACAAACTGAAAGGTAGTAATGTTATTGATAATGCTTTCATACTTGATAACATGTTCTTTTCTTTTTTGCTTATCAGAAATAATGTTGAAGGACAATCCCATTGCTGATAGGAAACTGCTGAAGGTGGTGAATGCCAGCAAGGGGAAGCCAATTTTGGATTTGGTTAGGACAATGCATGGCACGGGTGATTCAAAGAAAGGTGGTGGTAAAGGGAAGAAGTCAAAGAAAGAGTCTGAATCCGTGGATTTGCCAGACGATCCGAACAAACTGAAACTGCAGGTGCTCATGCACAATGTAAATGAAACAATCAGTATTATCGTTGATGAAGATGTGAAGAAAGTTAGAGGTCATATTTTAGCTTGTATTGTAAAAGGCATTCAGTTTGATGAGCAGAGTCTGAAGCAGTTCATCCAATTGCAAACTAAGTTGCATGATGGGATATGCGAGAAGAGGAATGCAGCTACCTTAGCCACTCATGATATTTCTAAAATTGTGAGTATACTCATTGAAATGTCTACTTTTGCAGTATTATTAAATGCTCGTCTGTCTGCAGGTAAATAATAAGTTGACATACACAGCTGTGAAACCGGAGGATTTGAAGCTTCAGCCATTGAACAGGACCACAATCATGACTGGTAAAGAGCTCTTCACCAAACTGCAGCTCGAAGCGGAATCGCTGCGCAAGGAGAAGAAACGAAACGTGTATTCGGGGATCCACAAGTATTTGTATTTGCTGGAGGGTCAAAAGTTGTTTCCATGCTTAAATGACAACGAGAGGACCATCAGTTTTCCTCCGATAACAAACTCTGAAACCACAAAGGTGCGTAAATCCTTTTGCAAGATTCTCATTCGGATTATATAACGCGTCGATTTCAGATTGGACTAGGTACGACTTCGATGTTTATAGAAGTTACCAGTGCAACGTCTCAGGGAATCTGCAGGAAAGTCTTGGACTCGTTCTTGCTTGAAACACTCCTCCTGTTGAACGCAGACTTGACCGTGGAGCAGGTGAAGAACACCGACGTCGAGGGCAATTTGAAATCGATCTACCCATCGAAAAACGATTTGATTTTCGGACCCGACGTCAATGTTACTGTGACCAGGAATTAAATTTCCCAAATCGCCTCTTTATTATTATTATTTCATTTATAAGCTTATTTCTATTATTTTTTTTGACTTTGTTTCATATTGAATGCTTCGTTTATTTATTTTGTTTTTTGTTTAAAACTCGCTGCGAAAGTTACTTTTATTTCCTTGCAAAAAAAATCAACTTTTACGACGATTCTTATGTAAGTTTTTAATGATCGTGTTACATTTGAAGAAGACAGAAGACAAAAACCGTTTTTGTTTTTTTTTAATATTTTAATAACATACAGTGTTTAATAAATTAGATTAATATATGCAAAGGATTCTAGATTTGGCATTAACTCAACCTTGTCACGGTTTTTACATTTGCTATGTTATATATTTTATATATATATATTTGGAAATTTTTTCTTACTATCACAACGAAACGAGGAAATATATTTTTGTTTAAAACGACACCGAGTGTAAAATTTCTTTTTTTTACATTAAATCAATCAATTCAATGAACTTTTTCGACGAGTTTTTTCCTTTCATTGACGTCAATGATTGAAAGATTTTTGCAGGCGACTACAAGATGCAGGAGAGAAATGCCGCTCTTCACGATCGCAATTGGTGCAGATATGTAGGCGATCGCTAAGAATAGAGGAATTCCCACTGAAAATGCGATGCGTTAACAATCAGATCAATTTCATCAATGTGCTATCAATAATACCTATTGTCAGTTCGCTATTGAAGTGATGCATATACATTGCAGCATAGAACATTTCATTTCCGGCGCACATCGCAAACAACGTGGTTCTATCCGTGTAGTACAAATGCATGATCCTATTCTCAGACATATCGATGAACTTGTGGCTGGTCTTTCCTTGCAAAGTTGTTCTGCATAAGAAAAAAACACAAAACGAATAAAAGAGAAGTGAGTTTAACATTTCAAGTGAATCAACTCACGTATGCAAGTAGATCCAATGGCAGGCAATATCGATTGTCATGCTCAACAGGAAGAAGAACATGTAGTCGGGATAGAAGTGGGCTAAGACAGCGCAAAGACACATTGTCCCACATCTGTCAGTCAATTGATCCAAGATAGCACCGAATTTGGTGCTCTGATTGAAATATCTACAAAGGAATTGATTTTTTTTTGCACATTTCTGAATGACAATTGCATACCTTGCAGCATGTCCATCGAAGGCGTCGAGAAGGGCTGAAGTGATGTAGCAGAAGATTGCAACTGCACAGTTCGTTGGCATGTAGTAAAAGGATATTAGGGCTAAGATTATCCTCCCATATCCTGCGAAACAATATGTTTAATGTATCAACAGTTGCATGGATTTGATCAACTTACCAATTATGTTTGGAACGAACAGGAAGATGTTTTCCTCAGACATATTTCTGCGTTTTAATAAACTTTGAGCACTTTTTAATAAACCAAACCATAAACTGCTACTGATCCCAAGCGGTATTGATGTTTTATTATCTATATATGTCCGTGACGTCACACAGAATATGACGCAAGCGCTGGAAGAGCACAGATTTATTACGTTATTATAAACAGAGAGTCGAACCGAAATTAATTTCGTTCCGGTTTACGGTTACGTTCCAAGTAAATGTTTATCATTACAGTTCCGGTTCGTCTAAAAATTTCCGGTTCGGTTCCGGTTTACTTTAATTGCCTTCTTACTATTATATAAAATTGAAAATACAAAAGAAATAAAAATTTATTAGAGACTAGTTCAACACATGTTTGTAATGTTAATATCCTTTTTAATCACTTTCATTTATAATTTTAAAATTTCGTTCCGGTTTCGGTTCAGTGAAAAAATCCGGTTAATTTCGGTTCCAGTTTGACTCTCTGAATATAAATGAAATATATTTAAATGATTGAAATACTACAGTTTAATACCAATAACATTTAACTTATATAATAATAATTTTGCAACAATCATATATAGATATATAAAAGTGAGCAACCAGCAATGTTTCATTTTTCAATTGTTTTCTTAACTAAATGATAATTTCGGTTTACGGTTTTCGGTTCGGTTCCAGTTTGACTCTCTTAATATAAATGAAATATATATTTATATGAATTTTAAATTTAAATGATTGAAATACTACAGTTTAATACCAACATCGAACATTTAACTTATATAATAACGATTATGCAAATGTTTCAACAATCTTATATATTTATAAAAGTGAGCAACCAGCATTGTTTTATTTTTCAATTGTTTTCTTAACCAAATGTTGGCAACACTTTCAAAACAAAAACAAGTCTAAAAACGAACATAACCTTTTGATGGATGAACGCAACGTAAATAACTACATAAATAAGTTGTGAAAAATGTCGTATGATACTAACGTTGTTTACGACCAGTGCCATAGCATCAGCGTATCTTTCAATGGACTTAACGTCATTAATAAAAATGTACAAATTCGAATGTCGAGGGGCTTTCTCAACAACCTGGCAAGTACAAAAAAAATGCACATGAAGACAAAACTAACATGAAACTACTCTTGCAGACGATTAAACTATCAGAAATGGATAACTACAGCTTCAATTATTCTTGCACGATTGATCCAGGATCATTCCAAAGGATGAGGGCAGAGCAATTCCTCGAGATTAACTTTGATGAGCTCCAATCGCAAATGATTGATCTCTTGCACGAAATACAAAACGAACAGATGCAAGTAAAATTGATTGCTAACTGAAAACAGTGTTTAGAAGTGATATTGTTGTTTAGGTTCTTGAAGCTGGAAGCGGAAAGCAACAAGTGCAGAATGGTCTTCTATGAAAAATCGAGATTGAAATCTCTGATTTTTCTGGTAATTGATTTGTCTTTAACAGATCAGAGGGAGATCATCGAAGAAATGACAAAAAGTATTGCCACTCTTAAAGTATAAATCTTATTGGAATCTTATTGAAAGTTGTATTTTTCATGTGGGAAATGTTATTTTTAGGAGGAAAATCGTAATTGCAATTATCGCCTATCTGCGATTCGCAATCAGTTGCAAGAAAAGGAAACCCTGCTAGGGGCTACAGTGTCAACAAGTAAAATCTTTGAAAATCGTGTTAAAAAGGTAATAAATGCATTGAATATACATTGAATGTATGTTAAATTGTTATTTTCGTTTAGGATATGCAAATGCTGGAAAACGTGTTTTGCACAACATTGCATAAGCTGGAGAGAACGATTGGGGAGAAATTGAACAGACTGAGTTTGAAGCAGGTGAAGTTGCTGGGAGATGTGGAAAGCGTGAAGAACGATAACAGATTGAAATGCGAGTCGAGCGTCAGATTGGTGAATTCTTTGCACTCGCTGAGGTTGGAAAACGAGCGACATTTGAAGATGGTCGACGAACTGAAGCTGGAGGTAAATCACTTGAACATACTGAGAAGGAATTGCGAAGATAAATGCGCCACATTGCAACGATCTCTTGAGAGCAAGAACCACGATATGCAAGATTGCAAAGGACAGATCGTACGTATTATTATTTAGATTTTTGAGTGAAAAGATATTTTTTTTTCTAATTTCATATAATTTCAGTCGGAGCTGAAAAAGGATTTGCAAGATGCTACGATGATCATCGCGCAAAAGTCGAAAACGCACGATGAAATTGCCAAAGATCTCGTCCAAGCCAATTCGATGTTAGTCAACTTCAACAATCAATGCGATACTCTTTCAAAAGAGGTATTTTGTTTATATATTAATTAATTTATACATCTATAATTATCGCTGTTTCAGTTGGATGAATCGAGGGAAGTCATACAATTGAAGGATCGAAGCATCAAAGAAATTAATATTAAAGCGCACAGAATGCAGGAGGAGTTCGACGTTTATAGGACTAAATATAATGTTGAGGAGTTTGCTAAATTGCAGCAGGAATTGTGTTTAGCAAAGCAGAAGGTGAATGATCTTGAGAAGCACAATAAGGAAACTATTAAATGTACGTATGTTGTGTGTTGTGTGTATTGGGAAAGTTGAATAATGAGAATTTTAGTGAATGGTTTGCTGACAAGAAAACTGTCTTCTGGAGATGTTTCTCAGCCAGCTCGAAATGCATGGTTACCGCCCAGCCAAAGAAGCAATTATTAAATATATTGTATTTGTAAGTTCATATGCAGATCGAATATTGTGATATCTTTAATTGTTGATGATGAGATGTTTGTATTTTTATATTTATATATTCAGAGAAAAGTTTTACAATTGAAAATATCTGTATTTCATTTAAAATTTATAAAATTGTCTATGTATAAATATCAGTTATTGTTAATTATTAATTTTTCAATAATGTTGTTTTTCAGTATTTCAACTAAACTGTTTCCTTTTCATTTTAATCATATTAACTGTATCATTTGGAAAGTATTGTTTATATTAACTATGTTCTATTTTAATAAATTTAAATAAGATAATTTATTCTTTTGTAAAAGTTTGTGCCAATTCATATTCATATGCGAATTACAGCCAAACATTCAGCTTTAATATGCAT